GCTTTCCTCAGTTATGATTATGAAGATAGTCTTTATTTTCTGTCCTGCATTTCTTTGTATTTGATTGCAGTGAGAGAGTTCTAAGATCTTTCTTTGAAATTGTTCAACTCATGATGCTTAATGCCCTATGCTGTCTTACTACTGTTTACATTCAACGGTTTGCTCCATTAGTATCTCTTTTTACGCTTCTCCTCCTGTTTCAAACTAAGTATTGAATTAACACAATTGCTTCCTACTATGACAGGAAATATGGAATAGTGCATATTCCAACGATAGTTTTCCAGTATATGCGGAGGACATTGATGCCGGTGGAGATGCGTCTCCTTCAACTAGGATGTTATCTGAAATTTCTCGGAGTCTAAAGATTACAATTATTGGTGGCTCTATACCTGAACGCACCGGTGATAAATTATATAACACTTGTTGTGTCTTTGGCACAGATGGAAAGCTTATGGCCAAACATAGGAAGGTCTGCACATTTTCCCTCTCATTTGGCAAGAGTTGTAAGAAAAACACATTAAGAAGAAAAATGATTATGACACAAGCGTTTGCAATCCAAAAGTGTTCATCGTATCCACTTCTCATAAATTTATTTAATTGTTTGTTTGGAATTATTGAGCCTTCCGTAGTGGTTTAACTAATTCAATCAGAAAGCAATATTTTGCAGATACATCTCTTTGACATTGACATTCCAGGAAAGATGACTTTCAAAGAATCAAAGACTCTTACAGCTGGAGTGAGACCTACTATTGTAGACACAGGTTAGACAAGCTTTCTAGTTTCTACCGAATTAAGGTATACATTGTTAACCTATTCAGTTTGGTATAAACTTTGGAGCTACAAGTTGGTTATGCCCTTTTGTCTAGTTCAAATAAAAAGTTTATGAGGTATTCTGACATAAGAGGAAACTTGCAACTTTTTTCTAAGTCTGATGGTGAGTGTCAATCTATTAATCAGCACCTGTTGTTTTATTCTTTTGTATTGGTGTCCGCTTTTTGAAGATATCTTGTTCGCTGCAGCTCTTCACTAGGAATGATGCACATCATATTGCCAACATTTTCGCTTTTCCTGAATTTAGTTGATGCAAATGTTTGCAATGTTTCTGTGGTTTTATACCAAAGTATTTGCTACCGTTGAGTAGAGCTAGCAAAAGTAACTAGTGAATTTCATACACAGAGGTTGGACGTATTGGTATTGGTATATGCTACGACATCCGCTTCCAAGAACTGGCAGCTATCTATGCTGCAAGAGGTATTAGTTATCTGCTTCTCAATTTGTGTACTAGCATTATTTAACTTTCCCATCTTCTCCCTATGCAAGGAAGTTATTCTGCTTTGTTATGTAATGTTCGTCCAGAAGACCTATCCTTTCTGTCTTCTCCTATTCTACTGAACTTTGTAGACCTCCAAGTTAAGTTCTTCACTTCTGATCTCCGATCAAATTAGTTCTCCACTTCTAAGACATTGGATGATTGTACGTTTTTTTTATCGGAATGTAAGCATTGACAAGTTAAAGACAGTTGAAATACACTGCAAAATATGTGGTTCATAATAGTCTCTACATAAAATGGGCATTACCCAGACCACAATTTCGTTGTTACATAGGAATTGCATTCCTGCTCATCAAGATTTTGCAAATGGAAGTAAATGGGCTACTTACGTCTGGTTTAACATGCCACTATGAGCTCAATTTTTATCAACTACTGTTTTTTCCTATATGTTAGGTGCTCATCTGCTCTGTTATCCTGGCGCTTTTAACATGACCACTGGTCCACTGCATTGGGAGTTGTTGCAACGGGCAAGGTAGTGGCGAACTTAGAACTACATATTTTTCTGATCAGTACATATGTAACTAACCATTAGTCTATCATGTGATAAAGGCTGAATCCTTAGAAGATATGCTAGCGTGTTATTAGGGATGCTTTGGTTCCTTGATATCATTTGCTGCAAAGAATCATAGGCGCTATCTTTGGTTCCTTTATATTATGTGTCACAAAATAGCATTCGGGCTATCTTTATGATCTTCTCTTTTGATGTTGAAATCTTCTTGAATTGTAAAAAGGAGTTGTCAAATGTTGAGTTTCATCTTAGTTTCATTCTGTGGAGCAACTAAATGTGCAAACACTAGCTGATATTCTTAACAAATGAAATCAGAATGGATAGTTATCATCTCACATGCTGTATAGCTTGTTTGTTAAATGTCTTAGTGCAGAGATATTGAAAACAAATCACAACCTATAAAACCTATCTTTGATTGCCCCAATAGTGGAGTAAACAAGGGCATCTTGTGAGTTAAGATTGTACTTTGAACCTTTCAACAAATTGTTAGTGATAGTTACTGTTCACCATGTGCTCTACTCTATTGACTTTATCTTGGAAACATTTATAGCAAACGCTATTATTATTCTTGTATTAGGCCAAGTTTTTCTTTTTTCATTTTTTGGTTTAACCGTCTTGCATTAGGCTAAGTTATTACTGCTAAGTTGTGGAAATTGATGGATGGTTTTTCTGTTTCCAACTCCATATTACTTTATGTTGGGATTTATTAGTATCGTTTTATTTCTCTTCCAATCTTATTTTTTGTTTCTGCAACTTTTTTTTTTGATCAGTTGTTTCTATCACTCCTTAAGTTTTACTTTTAAAATGCTAACTAGTCCTTGTAGGTTTCAGTTTGGAAACTAGTCAACTCTTTAAGAGCACAATAAGTTCGTTGAGTTATATGGAGGGACTAGATCCGTTAAATGCTTTGGTTCCTTCGTGATGCATTGAATTTTGGAGACACTCTGATGCTTCCTTTTCGTTCGTTTACATATGTAGTCAAGTTTTGATGAAGTCTATAGAATAATTCGACCTTAAATACACAAAGAGAATAACTAGTAACATCTATGTTGCTTGACCTGCAGGGCTGCAGATTGCCAGGTACACTGCTGATACCAGTATGCTCCACATTTTAATCTTATTACTTTTGCGGGATTGGTCATTGAAAGTTTTAGTTGCAAAGTTTCTTGAAACCTCTTTGATGTTTATGTATGCGCTGCTGTGATTGGAAAATTTCAAGAGGTCAATACCAAAACAACTGCACTGCTTTATGTGATGTTAAAGAATCTGCTGTTTCTTAGTCTCTGTGGCGGGAAACATGTAAATTCTTAGCCATGTAATCCATAACGGATTTCATGGATGATTTCTGTAATGCTTAAATTTCTAAAACAGAAGACACTATGATTTTCGTGTGAGAAGCGGGGTGCTTCTTTGATGTGAAAATGCTTTATCTTTTTCCTCTTTCTTGTCATTTCTAGTTGACTGAGAATTTTAAGTTTCTAGTTAACAGTAGGATCAACTCATGTGATAGTATTACTCTGCTTCTTATAAGCATCAATTCAAATGTAGAACTTTTGTTTCTGTCCCTACAGAAGTTAAACTTCTGAGTTGAGCACTATTTTCCTCTGAGTCTCATTGTTAGCTGATTGTGTTTATTATTCCAAAGATCTGGTCTTATTTCTTCTGCACATATTTCTATCAGTTGTATGTAGCAACTTGTTCACCTGCCAGAGACAGTGGTTCTAGTTATGTAGCTTGGGGACACTCCACTCTTGTTGGACCGGTGAGTATTTGACGTCTGAGGTGCCTTGTTTCAAAGATCTTAGTTAACATTTTCCTCATGTGACTTTTCAAGAAGAAATGAAAAAGTTTTAAAAGCTTTTGCTAACGAGCAGATGAATGGTGGAAAAAAGAATTTTATATAAGAAACAATCATGTTTTGTAAATGTGGCTTCAACTCTAACTTATGCTGGTTACAGTGAGTATTTGACGTCTGAGGAGCCTTGTTTCAAAGATCTTAGTTATCATTTTCCTCATGTGACTTTTCAAGAAGAAATGGAAAAGTTTTAAAAGCTGTTGCTAACGAGCAGATGAATGGTGGAAAAGAGAATTTTATATAAGAAACAATCATGTTTTGTAAATGTGGCTTCAACTGTAACTTATGCTGGTTACAGTGAGTATTTGACGTCTGAGGAGCCTTGTTTCAAAGATCTTAGTTATCATTTTCCTCATGTGACTTTTCAAGAAGAAATGGAAAAGTTTTAAAAGCTGTTNCCCCAAAAAAAAAAGAAGAAAATGAAAAGCATACTAAAGAAACTAAACCTGGCAGTTTGGAGAAGTACTTGTGACAACAGAACATGAGGAGACTACACTAATAGCAGAGATTGATTATTCAGTAATTGAGCAGAGAAGGTGAGTTTCTCCTGTTCCTACAGATCAGTTTTAGATCAACTATGTATTCACACTTGATATGTTCAGTTGTTTCTGTGTGTTGCTTCCCTGCATTTTATGTCAAAATTAGTCATCCTAAATGATCTTTTAATGGTTAATGGTCCGTCCCTTTTCTTGGATGGAGGCGTCAATATGTCCACTTCGGCATATACTGTTCGTGCTTAGAGCTTATCTAGAAGTCCTGATTATCTTCTTCTGGCCCATTTATTTACTCAAACTCCTATTTCAATATGCAGAATATACCTTCCATTTCAAAAACAAAGGCGAGGGGATTTGTACCAGTTAGTTGATGTTGACAGATTGCACTCCACGGGGGCCAACTGAGGTGCACTCCCTACTGCACGGGAGTGAAATAATCTTGAATTGATCATCGACAAAAGTGATCCATTGAGTGGCTAAAATGGCATGGTTGCATAGTGGTGCTTGCAATGATCTCTGCTCGATTATATGGCTTCTCTTCTGAAGTCATTACTTGCCTCTAAATCACTCCCCTTAGATTTTGCCTGGAATGATACACTCAAATGTGATGTGGCTGAAACTGCAATAAGTGCAATAAATGTCCATTTTGTTTTTGATTTCTTTTCTGGTTCTTTTTGTTGTTGTTGTATAATCATGAAATCCCCCGTGCGTTAGCTGATCCAGCCCTAGTTGGCGCAATTGTTTGCAACTCAGGTGAGCACGGGCTGGCCCCTCTACCCTCCCACTTAGATACCATGCTTTAGTCTTTTTTGTTCTTTTCTATTTGGTTCAGTTAGAATTTTGATCAACTGCATGATCAATGGATCTGCTAGAGTTTTGAAACATGAGATAGTCTCTCTCTCTCTCTCTCTTCCCCTTTTTCTCCTGTCAAATCTACTACTGCAAAATGTCAAACATGACTTCCACCAAAGGTATTTTTGACATTATTTTTACTACTACGGAATACTTTTCCGCAAAGTTTCTTTTGTCATTGGTCTTTAATCTCCTTTAAAGAATTTGTAAAAACAAAACGTGTGCTATCTCATGATACTGCTGGTAGAATTTGAAGTATGCTCATTTATACTCCACCCCTGCACTTTGGAGATACAAGTGCTTCTGAAATAATAATAATACCCTCTGTACAAGAAGTATTTGAATATTGAGTAATCAATTACTGTACTCTTTTTGTTGGTTATAAATTTAATATAATAACCAGAAGTAGACAACGACAGTAAAGGAAACTGACCAGCACTTACTTAGCCATTCTGGCAGAATCACACGCACGCGCGCGCGCTAAGTTTCCTTCTTTTTATATAAATGCATTCTACTTCCTAGTCAGTTACATCAACCACAAGTCCCTACCTTTCCCTTTCATATTCTTGTCTCTGTTTATTTCTCATTTTGCTTGTTCGTTTCATTCATATTTCTCACTTGGTTAAACTCAGTTTTGTACTCTTTATAGAGAAAATGTCTTCTTGGGAAAAACCTATAATAAGAAAGGAAAGGCTTCAGCAAAGGCGAAAAACGCCATCGTTTTCTTCCTCTTTGCTCGAAGCCATTTACCAATCCATTGATGAATCCAAAGAAGAAGAAGAAAAACGTCAAGAAGAAAACCATGTTCCGAATAAAAGGAACAATACTGTGGAATCTGAACAAGAAATTACTAGTCTTCGACGAGCAATCTTGATCGAGAAATGGATGGAAAGTTACAAGTATACTCAAAGCTCAGGACACTTTAGTTCCGATTCAAGTTCATCAACTGACTCAAGCATGTTTTCATCCTCAGAAACTGAGTCAGCTTCAAGATCTACCTCTAAGTCAGCACTTTTTCAGACATTGCCAAAACCAACAAGACAAGTTCGTGAAATACTTGTTCGATCAGAAAAGGTTGTTACATTGTCTGCAGAGACAACTCCAAAATGTGAAGGAGGAAGGTTTATGAGAACAAAAACAAGAGCCTTGAAAATTTATGGTGACTTGAAAAAGGTGAAACAACCTATTTCACCAGGTGGGAAAATAGCAAACTTCTTGAATTCGATATTCAATTCAAGAAATATGAAGAAAAACCACCACCACCACCACCACCACAACCAACAAGGTATGGAAGATTGGAGTTCGGTGAGGAAATCAAGATCTGTGAATGACTTAAGTAGTACTGTGACATGTTCATTGGCTTCAAGTTCTTCTTGCTTAAACAAAAGTACCCCTTCTTCGACGAGAGGTAAATCGAAAAGATCAGTTAGATTTTGCCCTGTTAGTGTAATTGTTGATGAAGATTGTCAACCTTGTGGACACAAGAGTATATACAAGAATGAGGAACCAAGAAATTGGCATGTTCCTAAAGTAGGGAGCTTCAGAAACTTCGAGGGAAAACACATAAACAAGAATCAATACAGAGGATTTTACGAAAGTGAAGAGGAAGAAGATGATGATGGTAGGAGTTGTGCAAGTTCTGATTTGTTTGAACTTGAGAATATTGGCATGATTAGTCATGTTCATGCAACTAGAAATGAGTTGCCTGTGTATGGAACTACTAGTTTGAAAATGAATCAAGCAATTGCTAGGGGTTTAGTTATGTGAGGTAATATTTCATTAGATCATCAATGTAAACACTTAAAAATGAGTGATTTGTCTTCTTGTACTAGGTTTTTCTCCAAGATTAATTTGTATCATATTTCAGATTACTCTGCCTTATTTTCTTACTTTTCCAACTATGGTTCAGAACTATGGCTTTACTAACATAAAATGCTAATTGATATGGTAATGAAGGGCACACAAACTAACAGCAAGAGGCAAATCTAAAATTGGGTTTTGAATGAGTAGTCGTAGGGGTCATTTGGTATGATGGATAAGCAAAAATTATCCTGAGATACAAATTTAGTACCGTCTTATCCCTTGTTTGGTCAGGGGCCATTATTAAAAATAGTATCGGGATAATTTATAGCTTCTAGAGGGTGGAATGTTAATCCTGGGATAAGTTATCCCAGGATAAATCAGTAAAATTGACAATTTTAGGATTAATACAACATATCAAACAGTCAATAAGAAACAATACGGGGTCGTTTGAACTCGCAGAACTCGCTCTAGATCCACTCCGGCATTATTATCTAACCGAGAGTAGTTTGATATCGAGTCTTAGCCCTATCATTAGATTTTGAGCATTCTAAATGAGTGCAATCTTAGTACTATATGTTAAAATTTTAATTTTTTAATATAAATTTACATACTTCGAGCTGAAAGTGATGTGTTTAGTTTGAACTCACGGAACTCGCTCTAAATTCACCTTTGCCTACAGTATCGTGCGTACACACTAGTCTATGAAACTCTATGGTTCTAAAGAATAGTTCCAAATGGAGTCTTAGCCCTATCATTAGATTTTGAGCATTAAATCCACCAGATTAGCTTACTTTCAGTAGAAACTAACCTTGATATGCAAATTAACTGTTAAATCAAAATCATTAAGAGAACATGTCCTAATTAAGCTCGTCTGAAGGTGATTATTAAGTTCCTTACTGTAAAATACTTCCTAGTCGAGTCTCACGAGATGTAATGATTGTGATTAGGATATGTATCTTTAAGTTGAAGAAAAATGATTTCATTTCTTCACTTTTTGAGATGTTACACTTGGGCATTACTGTATTAATTAGGCCAGGGTACCCCAAAATATTATTAATTTAATCTTACCTTGAGCATATGTCACTGTTTTGAAATGATTAAAAATGTTTGAATTGCCAAAATGTCACATTTTCACAGTGTGTTTACAACTTTTGGATTCCCTCAAGAAATAGAAGAGAAGTCCAAAAGTGACATCTTTCAAAGAAAGAGCAAGAAAGATCCTTGATAACAAAGTAGAAAGTATTTTATGATGTTGTCGTCTTTAGAATTTTTGGGAGATGAGTAGGTGTGGAAAATTGAGTCGTTAATAAGAGCACACCAAATATGATCAAGTGGAAAATTATTTTATAAACAAGCATATATTGATGATATCAAATAGATAGATAAGTTAAGGGATTAGGTTCAACAGAGTTTGTTACATTGAACTGATCCAAGATAACGCTGTCAATATCAATTATTGCCAACAAAAATAGTGTAATAAGAACAAGAATAAATAGATTATATTCACAAAAATGTAGAGCAGTTAGGTGGTATTAGTAGCTGTTAAGGTATGTCTGTTTATGCCCAACAACAAGAGAAAGAAGAAAGAAACTGTTGTCGCTAGTCCTAGAGAAGCAAATGACACGAAAAATTAATAAAAATGAATGATCGTACAAAAATTCAGAATTTAAATTTTATGATTCATACTGTAATTTTAAATTAATAGTGTACAATAATTATTGAATTTACTCTCAAATATTTATAGATATTTAATTAATTTTTACATAAACAAGTCCTTGAAAAAACTACTAATTTCAAGTGAAAGTATATGCTACATCAAGAATCCGCCCGTGTGTATCGGTTAAGTCAAACCCTTTTTTAATATGGGATATAAATATAATAGAAATTATTAAAATTGGAAATCATGCGGAATTCTAGTTTTATGACCCTAAAATGTCAAAAAACGAGTAACAGTCACGGAGAAACGATGACTATTGTTCATTAGTTTGTTTTTGATGGTCCGAATTTTTTTCAGGCGAATCGGGTCCGGTCGCCCGGATGCATGCAGATGGTGTGGCTATAGCACACGAAAATCTAGGAATCAGGATAAATTCTAGTTGTATGGCCCTAAATCACCAAAAAAGAGAAACATTCATGGCGAAGCGATGCTTATTGTACATTAGGTCATTTTTTATGGTCTGGCAAAATTTTAGGCGATTCGGGTTCAGTCGCACGGATGCATCCAGATCGCTTGTATAACACAAGAAAATTTAGGAATCAGGTGAAATTCCAATTTTATGACCCTAGAATACCAAAAAATGAGGAACGACTTTTAATAAATATTTTATTTTAAAAAATTTAAAATTAATTTTATTAAATTTAATTCTGAATCCGTCTCCCGACGGGATAGTGGTTATGAAAGAGGTCCCACAGAGGAATTTGAGAAGTCAAAATAGAGAACAGGATCAAGCATTATGGCGCACATGCAAAACTAGAACTTTTGCAAGCAAAGTTAAAAAGTAGATCTTCAAAACTTTTGCTTTTTTCAATATCCCACCACTCTCACACCAATTTGCCTCAATTCGTCCTTTTTAAGTATTGGGGGTAGTTCACCTTTTTGAAAAAATATAATTATGGGTGGCATGTCACTGTTTTCTCACTTGTTTCTCTCTTATGAGTAGAGATGGATTCACATTTAATAAAATCAATAAGTTGGAGTGAGTATCATATTATCACTTATGGTCCGCAATGTAATAATNTATATATATATAAATTTTATCCATATGTATATTAAATAATAAAAATCCCTTCTTCCACTTCCATTACTCTATTAAACATTTAGACATTAGAAACCCTAACATCTAAAAGTCTTAATTTCATCTAGCAGCCATAGCAGTAGACTTGCTGTCTCCCTCTCGAGTCTCGCTGACTCGCATCCCCCTCTCGCCGACTCGCTTCTCCCACTTGTCATAGCCAGAGCAGCAGATGGTAAGTTTCATTTCTTATTGATGTCTTCAGAATATTCGGTCATCACTGTTGTTTACACTTTTAAAATCAGAGAGTATCTTAAAGTATTCAGCCATTTCACGGATCTCCAATCACTGAGATTTCTTCTGAAATTGATATTCCAACTATTGCCTTCTCTGCCTTGTGCTATTTTGAGATCGATTTTAACAGTTTCTGTTTAAATATCCGTTAAGGAACTTGATATTTTCATTCCTTTTCTTTTCTTGTTGCAGTGACTCATAGCATGGATGAAAATATACAAAGTGATAAGGTGATGGGTGAAAGTGGGGCTTCTAATTCAAATGCAATAAGTTAAGCTGAAACATCAGAGTCAAATATAACCAAAAAAGGAAAAAAAAGGTCTGTTGTATGGGATTATTTTACAGAAATTATTACTTCCGAAGGGAGTACAAAAGCAAAATATGACTATTGCTTTATTGAGTATTGTTTTAAGACCAAAGACGGTACGTCGACACTTCTTTCTCATATGTTTAAGTGTCCTAAACGCCCTGCTATTGTTGATAAAAAATAATCAAATTTAGACTTTCAATTTGTTCCGGGGGTAGTCAGGGTGACGTAGCTGTTGTTACTTGGAAATTTGATCAAGAAGAGTGTAGGAAGGCGTTATGTCGTATGGTAATAGTTGATGAGCTTCCTTTCAGCTTTGCTGAGAAAGAAGGTTTTAGAAACTTTATGAAAGTGGCGCAACCTTATTTTCGGATCCCTTCCCATAGTACTCTAACTAGAGATTGTTTTGATCTTTTTAATGAAGAAAAGTAAAAGTTGAAGAGGTCTTTTATAGAAACGAAACAAAGAGTATATATTACCATTGATACGTAGACTTCTATACAAAGAATCAATTACATGTGTATCACTGCCTATTGGATTGATAGTGAATGGAATATGCATAAGAGAGTAATTAATTTTTGTCCTATTATTAGTCATAAAGGCGAAGACATGGCAAATGGTATTGGTAGGTGCTTATGTGAGTGGGGGATAAATAAGATCTTCACTATCACAGTTGATAATGCAAGCTCAAATGATGTGACAGTAAAAGAATTATCTAAGCAATTAACAAAAATGGGAACTAATTTGATGAACGGTAATCACCTTCACGTGGGATGTATGGCTCACATCATGAATCTTGTGGTCCGGGATGGTTTAAAAGAATCTTCAGTGTCTATTGAACGTGTTAGGCATGCAGTGAGATATGTTAGGCCGTCTCCTGCGAGGTTGAAGAGATTTCAAGAATGTTTTGATGATGAACAACTCAATTGTAAAAAAACGTTTATGCTTGGATGTACCAACTAGGTGGAATTCCACCTACTTGATGTTGCGCAGGGCTATTGAATTTGACAGTGCATTTTCATATTATGCTTCTAGTGAAATTGGCCTGAGACATTATCTTGAGCATTCTTATATTGAAGTTGGAATTCCTGCAGGTGAACTTTTGAGTAGTGATTGGGAGAATGTAAAAAGAATTACAAAGTTTCTTGAAATTTTTTATCTTCTTACTTTAAAAATATCTGGATCACGTTATGTTACATCGAATATTCATTTTCTTGAAATTTGTGCGGTTGCTATTTATTTGAAGCAATTGATAGCAAATGAAGATACAGTTTTAAGTGAAATGGCAAAGAAGATGAAAGAAAAATTTGATAAGTATTGGGGTGATCCAGGAAAAATGAGAAAGATAATTTTCATCTCATGTATTTTGGATCCACGTTACAAGCTTGAATCAGTTGGCTATGCACTTGTAAAAATGTTTGGTGAAGATCCGGGGGCAACTATACAAACAGAAGTGGAGAAGTACATGACTTCATTATTAAGTGAGTATGTAAAGTCCAGCTCAAAAGGTGTCGTGCTTGCTTCATCTTCAGATTGTTCTTCATTGGACACTTCTACTTCCGGGCTTTCCGGCAGTCAAGTAAGCACCCAAAATACAGGACTTTTAGAATCACTCATGCAAGATATAAAAAAATATATAAGTAGGAGTGGAGGTGTGGATACTAGAACAGTGTTAGATAAATATTTTGGTGAAGAAACTGAGGATGACACTAAAGAATTTGATGTTCTTCTCTGGTGAAAATTAAACTCAGCTAGATTTTCTATTCTTGCGGAGATGGCTAGTGATGTATTAGCTGTTCCGGTTTCAAGTGTGGCATCCGAATGTGCATTTAGTACGGGAGGACGTCTTCTTGATTCATTTAGGAGTTCATTAACTCCTAAATTGGTGCAAGCTCTAGTGTGTCTTCAAGATTGGCTTCGAAATGAAAAATTAAAACAACCTGTTAGTATTGAGGAAGATCTTGATAAAATCGAGCAGCTTGAACAAGGTAATAATATTGTTACTATATTTGTTGTATATAAGTGTTGTGGATATACTTATATTTATCGCACGACTCCTTATTTTAATTTTTTTTCTTCAGATTTAGCCAGCGATGGAAAAGACCCTTCCGTAATTGACGTGTAGTGTTAATATATCTGGTAAGAATTCGAATTGTAATATAGTATTAATAAATCTGTTAATATATTTATCGCATGACTCATGTTTGTGCATAATTTTAATTCTGTTACAAGAAATCTTTTTCTAAAGTATCTTTGTGTATGTCCTAGAGCTTTTTGGCAGTTATCTATTGGTGAAGTGGAGAGCTTGTCACCCAGTCCCGTCAGTGGTGATGCTTCAGTGATAAAGAAAAGGTGTGCTTGGGTGACCCCAACTACTGGTATGTCCACTTCTATAATGTTGCAATTTCATTTGTTGAATACGTCTTCTTACAGTGTTTTTGATAAGGCAAAGGCACTGCTAAGTGTCTTACATAATTGTTTTTTTCTTAAGTTTCTTATATAATCTTGGGATAGCATTCCTGACACTGTTGTTCTTGGTTCATCTATAAGTCCTTCTAGTTAATCTTGGTTTCTGTAAATTCGATTTAGACTTAATGAAAGATACTATGCTGGTCATTAGCATATTGTTGACTTAAGGCAAAATACCAATAGCCTCAAAGAGTTTCTTCTTTATTATTTCCTCTACTAGTTGCATAATTATAATGAGGAATTCTTTACTGCACTGTAATCATTAGTCCTTCTAGTAGCAGAAAATGGAAATATGTAGGTCTTTTCTAGTATATGAATATTCATCTTTAAATGTACTACTGAAGTATGTAAAAGTGTCGATGGGCTTGGATCTCATTGTTTTATTGGGACAAAAAAAATAATGGAATAAATAGTTCAGTCGCCATTCAAAGCTGGGCTAGTTCTGCATTCAGCTGAGTTCAGGAGACTCAGTCGACTTTTGGGTATTAGCAAACTCATTGATCTCATTTTGAAAAGCCGTGTGCCCTCAAGCTGTCATATTTCAAGCCTGCTACCATCTGAGTTTTATAGTGTTAGGCTGTTGGATGTTAGCAGTTTGTTATATATTGAATGTTATTAATAATGTAAATGGTTCTACCATTGTAGAGTGATTCCAAACACTCTTATGCTGCTGTTTGAACTTTGAAGCTGCAGAAATTAGAGCACTGTTAGGCGTTAGCTGCAACAGTTGTATTTTTGATATCTCCAATTGTTCTAGATTTTATGTCTAAATTTCCATTTTATCTATAGTTGTGGACTCATTTTGACTAGGGGCATTCAAAACCGAACTGAAACCGAAAATCGAACCACAAAAGTGGCTTAATGGCTTATTGGTATCGGGTTAACGACTTAACGGATGGGGAACAGATTGAAATTTTTTTATTAACGGCTTATCGGTTTGGGGGTAGATTATTTAATTTTCTTAACGGATAATCCGTTAACCCGTTAAGAATATAATTTAATATGTATATTAAATAATAAAAATTCCTTCTTCCTCTTCCAGTACTCTATTAAACACTTAGACATTAGAAACCCTAACATCTAAAAGTCTTAATTTCACTCAGCGGTCAGAGAAGCAGACTCACTGTCTCCCTCTCGAGTCTCATCGACTCGCCTCTCAATCTCGCCGACTCGCCTCTCCCTCTTGCCGACTCGCCGTCTCGACTCTCTCTCTCGCCATAGCTAGAGCAACAGATGGTAAGTTTCTTTTCTTGTTGATGTCTTTAGAATATTCGGTCCTCACTGTTGTTTACACCTTTAAAATCAGAGAGCATCTCAAAGTATTCAGCCATTTCACAGATCTCCAATCACTGAGATTTCTTCTGAAATTGACATTCCAACTGTTGCCTTCTCTGCCTTGTGCTATTTTGAGATCGATTTTGACAGTTTCTGTTTAAATATCCGTTAAGAAACTTGTTATTTTCATTCCTTTTCTTTTCTTGTTGCAGTGACTCATAGCATGGCTGAAAATATACAAAGTTATAAGGTGATGGGTGAAAGTGGGGCTTCTAATTCAAATGCAATAAGTCAAGCTGAAACAACAGAGTCAAATATAACCAAAAAAGGAAAAATAAGGTATGTTGTGTGGGATCATTTTACAGAAATTATTACTTCCGAAGGGAGTACAAAAGCAAAATGTGACTATTGCTTTATTGAGTATTGTTTTAAGACCAAAGACGGTACGTCGACACTTCTTTCTTATATGTTTAAGTGTCCTAAACGCCCTCTATTGTTGATAAGAAATAATCAAATTTAGGCTTTCAATCTGTTCCGGGGGTAGTCAGGGTGACATAGCTGTTGTTACTTGGAAATTTGATCAAGAAGAGTGTAAGAAGGCATTATGTCGTATGGTAATAGTTGATGAGCTTCCTTTCAGATTTGTTGAGAAAGAAGGTTTTAGAGACTTTATGAAAGTAGTTATTATATATGGATAGTAAATTGGTGATTAATAAGCATATGTAAATATTTGTATAAAGTTTTGTACTCTTTGTTATCTCTGTGTATGGATTAATCAGGTACTAGCAAATAGTGATTTAAGCATGTGTAAATTAAATATATTTACAGCTTTGGATCTTTTTTATATATTATATATTGACGATAATTGATTTGATCTTTATGGAAATGGTATGTGCGTCATGTGCAATTGCAATGGTTGCTCCAATATCTGTAGTCTAAACTGAAAGCAGCGTCAACAGGCACTAGCAAATTTCTCTAGTATTTGGAGGTGTCAATTTTGGTGTAACAACTAACAGGCTATAACATGAAGGACCAAAATAGTCCTCTGTAATACAGATTGAACTAGACCGATGAACCGCCCGATAATAGCTAAACTGATACCAATCCACCCGATATCTTATCGGGTGGCTAGCAGATTAATACATTTAAAAGCCGATAACTGATAAGACGAACCGTTAAGAGTAAATAACCGCCCGATCCGCCCAATAAGCAGCCCTAATCAGATATGCATCTTAATTACGAATTAGTACTTGAATGTTTTATTTCATTATGGGAACAAATCACTCTTACTAAAATTTTCGATGCAGAAGTACACATCTTCTAGTAGCTTGAAGATCAATAATCTTAGGAGTTAGGACCCATTTGTTCATAGATTTATTTTTCTTTTTTTCGATTTAATTTTTAAAAACATATTTGTTCATGAAATTTTGTAAGTTTTTGGAGATTTTTCGAAAATAAGTTTTTCAAAAACTAATTTTTTCAAAATTTTGGAAAAACATTTTCCCCACTCACACAACTACAATATATTTTCAAGTGAAATGTATGTCCAAATATAATTTCAAATTTCAAATATCATTTTTTTTAACTTAACTCCAAATACTAGTATTTTTTTCTAAAAATTATAATTTTTATGTCGAAACACCTACTTAGTTAATGCTAGACCAAACATCTTCTATTTATAAAGATCAGTATAGATTGACGCAATTAACAAAAGAAGACATTCTATTGAGGTAGAACGAGTATTGAGTACCAACAGCCACCCACCATTGTGACGTCCCTTTCACTGTCGTCGGACAACTCACCGATATCATGTCTGGAGGTGACACTACAAGGCCAAGGCCTAGCCTACAATTTCACCCTGGGGAACCAATCGGTCACCCTAATCGTTCAAAACCCTGTGCATCTGGCGAGGTTAATGGTGGAGGCCCTAAACAAGGCCTTGGCAGCCTTTGGCCCAAGCCTCTGGCAGGCAATGACTCTCAACGGAAACATGCAACCCAATCTTGACCCAACAATGATCAATACCTTAATCTCTCAAGCTTTCTAATCAATCCCCTTCTTCCCAGACCCAGTAGCGGAGGACCCAACAACGTCTCCACTGTTTGTGACTATCGAGCCCTAATCCCAACAAACTCCATCGTCTTCTGTACCAGTCGATAAGAACCAGGTGCCGCCCCTAGGAAACATTACAAGAGAGATCAACAAAGCCCTAGAGCTCCTGAAAAGGAAAAGCCCTTTTGAAGTGGAGGGAACATCATATGGCCCTCTACGCACAAACTCCCTCTTACAGGACTCAGTCAGAGCAATCGAGTTCAATATGGAAAGCAGCGAGGTTCTTGTGCTCCTGTGTCCCAGGGCCCTGACCAAATGTGGACTAAGCCTAGTCTCCCACAACAGTCAAGGTGTGACTAAACCACTCCTCAATCTGACTCGAGTATTGAATATGAAGAGCAGGAACCAAAAAGAATCAATGACGCCTCCCTAAGTCATGAAGAAGGCCCACAGACTACCAGTCCCTCACACGCCAACCACCCGTAATGAATTACATCATATGGAATGTTAGGAGTGGAAATAATGTGGAGTTCAGGAGACACTGCCTTGACATGGTGCAACTCTACAAACCAGCAATGTTGGTTTTGTTTGAAACAAAGATGGCTGACCATAAGAAATTGACTGAGGATTTGTATTTTGACATGCTCATCCAGTCTCCGGCAGTGGGGTTGTCAGGTGGGATTGTTATGATGTGGAAAGAGGATTGCGTCAAAGTTGATGAGGTATCTACTACCCCTCAAGGCATCCATGCCATAGTGAAGGTACTCACATCCCATACTCCCTGGTTATTTTCAGCTATTTATGCTAGCACCATATTAGCTGATAGGAATTGTTATGGGAGTTACTATCTCTAAAAATAATATTGGGAACATGTTTGAAGTCTTAAAAAGCTAGGGATAAGTTTGGGGGTAACCCTATTAACTCAAACCACAACAACCTATT